CAGACCAATCATCTTTTTTTCCTTCTTGGAATGTTCATGAGCCTCTTGACCTTCCTTTTTTCTTTTTCTCATGGTAATCAAAATGATATCCATAGCACTTACGGTGTAACTCAATATATTCATTTTGTGGCATGGTTATGGCTGGCGGGCTGATGGTGCAGTCCTCTGCATGTGAAGAAGTGGTCAATTTTCAGGTTTTGGAGACCCACAAACCAAATCCATGTGCCCTGTGACAGGAAAGGAACACGTCTACAAGGACCATCTCCAGTGAAAGCGTGACATACTTGTTCCAATTTTCTGTTCTCAGCTTCTCTTATTATTATTATTGTCATTATTATTTTAAGGCTCTATTTCATTTATTTCTGCTCTGATCTATTTATTTCCTTTCTGTTACTCTTTTTGGGCTTTGCTTGCTGTTGTTTTTTTTGGTTCTTTTAAGTGTAAAGTTATATGTTTTATTTGAGTTTTTCTAGTTTCTTGAGATAGGCCTGTAATGCTATGAATTCCCTTCCTAAGACTGCTTTCCCTGTGTCCCATAGATTTTTGGTTGTTGTGTTCTCATTTTCACTTGTTTCAAGTTGTCTTTTGATTTCTTCATTGATCTCATTGTTGACTCATTCATTGTTTAATAACATGTTATTTACCTCCCATGTCTTTGTGTATGTTTCAGTTTTCCTCTTGTGATTGGTTTCTAGTTCCATAGCATTATGGTCAGAGAAGATACTTGCTATGATTTAAATCTTCTTAAATTTTGTGCCTTGTTTTGTGTCCTAACATGTGGTCTATACTAGGAAAGGTTCCATGTGCACTTGAAAAGTATGTATATTCTGCTGCTGTGGGATGAAATGCTTTGAAGATAACAGTTTGATCCATTTGAACTAGTGTGTCATTTAATATCACTGACTCCTTGTTGACTTTCTGTCTGGAAGATCTATCCACTGAAGTCAATGGGGTGTTAAAATCTCCTACTATGACTGTATTTCTGTGAGCCTCTTCCTTTATGTCTATCAAGATTTGCTTTACATATTTAGGTGCTTCTATGTTGGATGCATAAATGTTTATTAGGGTTATAACCTCTTTTTGGGTTGTTCCCTTTATGTAGTGTTCTTCCTTGTCTCTTACTATAGCCATGGTGTTAAAGTCTATTTTGTTAGATATAAGCATTGCTACCCCAGCTCTTTTCTCTTTCCATTTGTATGAAATATGTTTTTCCATCCTTTTACTTTTAGTCTGTGTGTATCTTTCATTTTGAGGTGGGTCTCTTGGAGACAGCATATATATGGGTCCTTTTTTCTTATCCATTCAGCTACCTTATGTCTTTCGATTGATGCATTTAAACCATTTACATTTAAAGCGATTATTGACAGATATATATTTACTGTCATTTTATTTTTAACTGTTTTCCTCTGGGGTTTTTCTTTTCTTTCTTCTGCTCCTTCAGGCAAGTCCTTCTGTAGTTGTTTCAATATTGGTTTGGTGGTAACAAACTCCATTAGTTTTTCTTGTCTGGGAAGCTCTTTATTTCTCCTTCCATTTTAAATGATAGCCTTGCTGAGTAAAGAAGGCTTGGTTGGAGGTCCTTGCTTTCATCTCCTTGAATATTTTGTGCCAATCACTACTGGTCTGAAATGTTTCTGTTGAGAAATTATATGACAGTCCTATGGGAGGTTCCTTATAAGTAACTAACTGTTTTTCTCTTGTAGGTTTTAAGATTCTCCTTGTGTTTAGGCTTTGCCATTTTAATTATGATGTACCTTGTTGTGGGCCTCTTTGGGTCCATCTTGTTTGGGGCTGTCTGTGCTTTCTGGACTCCTGTGTCTTTTCCTTCACCAGGTTAGGCAAGTTTTCAATCATTATTTCTTCAAGTAGGTTCTTGATCCCTTCCTTACTTTCCTCTCCTTCTTGTATCCCTGTGATGTGGAAGTTGTTATGCTTCATGTTGTCCTAAAGGTCCCTTAAATGATCCTCATTGAAAAAGGTTTGTTTTGGTGCTCTGCTTAGTTTTTATCTACCTTGTCTTTTAAATCATTATTTTAATCCTGTGCTTCTTCTAACCTACTGTTTATTTCTTCCAGTGCATTATTTATTTCAGATATTGCATTCTTAATTTCTGACTGGTCCTTTCTTATGATTTCTAAGTCTTTTCTCACGCTGTTGAGCATCCTTATAGTCATTATTTTAAACTGTGATTTAAATCTTCTTAAATTCTTTATCTTCTTTATCTTTGATAAATTGCTTGCCTTCAATTCATTTAGTTCTTCTTCTGGAGAGTTCTTTCGTTCTTTCATTTGGGGTGTTTGTTTTCCCATTTTGGCTGCCTTTTTGTGTTTGTTTCTATGTATTAGGTTGGTCTGCAAAGACTCTTATGCAGACCGATGTCAAGACACCACCTTTAACTGGCTCTGTTACCTGTTTGGAGCTGTCAGTGATTCACAGCTTGTGGCTTCTTTTGCTGGGTCTGGGTGTGTGCAGAAAGAACCAGGCTGTGCTCCAAGACTGGCTTTTACCAGCACTGGGCCAGGGAGAGGGTCAATTAATGTCTCAGAGGTCCCACAGATTTGCCTTTGCCTGCAGGCTTTGTGTTAGGCTTAATCACTGAAGGTTCCTCCAACTGTACTCCTCAGCAGCTGAGCTTTAGTTCCACAGGGTGGGGCTATTGCTTCCACTCAGGCTGATGCTACTTGGAATGTGGTGCTCTGCCTAAGAAAGGCGGCCTTTGTAGTATGGGGAATAACTTAGCACAAGGATCCTCGCAGCTGTTCCTTTAGTTCTCTCCCCAGAGCCACCAGCTCCAGACTCTCTTCATGTGTCTCTAGTCCACTCTGCCCTCCTTGTGCTGGAGCCCAGGGTAAGTGGCTGGAAACAAAATATTGTGCACTGGCCCTTTAAGAGGCTCTCAGTCTCCAGCCATTTCTCCCTGGCAGAGAGAAACCCCTTTGCTCCCTTTGCTTTTCACAACTGGATGTTATCTGGGTTCTCTCCAGGTCTGGTGCTGTAAGATGGGAGCCCAGCTTGGGGTTTAGACCCCACATTTCTCAGGGGGAATCCCCTGGTAATTGAAATGTCTGTCCAAAACTCAGCTGCTACCCATGTGAGCCCAGCGGGCTCTCTTGAGCCTCCTCTGCACTCCCTACCAGTCACATTGTGGTCACAGTGGTTTCCTCTGTCTGTCTGTGGTTATAAGGCTTCTTTCCAGCTAGTGCTCAGTTGGTTATTCAGGATGCTTTCTCTACAATTTGGTTCTAATTCCAGATTCGTCCTGGGAGAAGGTTAAGTGTAGCTTCCACTTACTCCTCTGCCATCTTGGGTCTCCTGTTCCTGTAATTTCTATTGTTAGAAAGTCTTTGTAATCCAGGAGAAAGTGTTCGGTTTAAGGTATTTGTTAGTGCACTGATATATTTTTTACTTAGTTTGATGTTATCTGAGTTACTTAGCTTGATTAAATGCATTGTGAAGACTTTCATATTTTCCAATATTTTAAAATAGTTTAAGAGTTGGGCACTAATTAAAAGATGATAATAACACATTTTATTTAGTACTATTGCAGTAAGGGAGAAAGGCTTCAGTAAAACCAAGCTCAACTCCCAGTACAGCAAAGACAGCTGGGGATTAATTAATAGCAACCAAGGAGGTTAAGAGGGGCAGTGGATGGAAAATTACCAGAAGTACACAGCAAGTTTGGGGGAATTCTTGCTAAATTGATCTGACAGGATTGTTATAGGCAGATCAAGGATTTAGACGTCAAAAACAGGGGATTAGGAATTTAATTGGATATGAAGAATGGGGATTCTACCTAAAGTGATTTAGTAGGAAACTGAGCTCCACAGGCCAAGAACAGGGCTTAGGGCCCAGCCCTAGTAGAAAAGAGGGCTCAGAGAAAATTGTCTGAAGTTTGGTCAAGGGTTAAATTTTTGTCACAGCAATAGAAACACGCAGAGGAAACCAGCATAATTTTTTGAAAACCAAATATTACACTCCAAGCTACCATACTGATCTACCCCACAAGGAGCGTACTTCTCCAAGTTTCAGCAGCAGAACTAACTGGCTGAACTTCCAACTCTGGCGACATATTTATTTGGAGATTTTGTCCGCATTCTATAGAAGTGATAATTCTGAAGTCCTTAGCACCTGACGCTGAACTAAGGAAAGGGGCACTGTAACCATTATTCATGGAGTGCACACTAGGGACCCCAGATACTTCTACTTTTTCTACTCATTTTGATAACTCTGCGAGTGACTCTTCTGGGCTCCCTCTATTGCAGAAGAGGAAAGTGACGCACAGCTGAGGTTGTTAGCTCCTCGTCCCTGCCCCACGGATCAGGCACGTGAGGTACTAAGGAGAGGCTTCCTTAGGGTAAGTCGGGGTAAGGTCTCGGTACAGACCGTTCCGGCTGGACGGACCGCAAGGATACCTCTATGGACCGTTCTCGGAGCCAACGCCCCCACCCCGTTGGACTGCTGGAACCGACCCACTGTCCCTCCCAATCAGACTCGGGCACCTGAGCTACATCGCTCATTTCAGGTCTGCGCCTGCGCACTCCAGCGCCTGCGCACTCCAGCGCCTGCGCACTCCAGCGCCTGCGCACTCCAGCGCCTGCGCACTCCAGCGCCTGCGCACTCCAGCGCCTGCGCACTCCAGCGCCTGCGCACTCCAGCGCCTGCGCACTCCAGCGCCTGCGCACTCCAGTTACGCCTCCAGCGCTGGCGCTAAAGGCCCTGCAGCCTTGTGGGAAATGTAGTCCAGTGCCCTGGGGAGGTGCAGTGTCTGCATTGGCTTCTCCCGCAGGTTTTGGGCGCTGGGCGAGGGTGAGTGCGGAGCTGGGAGTGGACATGTTAGGGCTGGCCGGGTGGCGAGCACCAGGTGGAGGCAGGGGGGCCTGACCAGCCCTGATTGTCTGTAGGCGGTGGAGGGGCTAGGGCCGCGTCCGTCCTTCGGACCAGTGCGCAGCCGCTTACTTCGAGGGCTACACCTCCTGCCCCCAAGGCCGGGGGGCCGGGGAACGAGGGCTGAGCTGGGGCGGAGGAGGTGGGGGTAGAGGGCACCGAGACCGAGGGTCTCCGCACGCATGTAGTCCTTTCACTACTTGCCTCTGGAGCGGTGAGGGCGGTCCGCCAGTGAGGGACCCTCGGTTCCTCCCGCCGCTGGCTTTTCCCACTTGGCAGTCGGGGATGCTGGCCTGGGTGCGGGGCTCCAGACTCCAGCCCCTGCCCTTTGTGTAAACAGCACCTCAGTGCTTGCTGCTGATTTCCGATTCTGAGGGGTGCGGTGTGGGCTCGCCTTGACCCGTTTCACCGATGAATGCCAACTTTGTGCAGGTTCTCTGACTCGGGGAATCCTTTCCTTTTCTTTCCTTTAATTTTTTTAAAAGCATTTTTCCCCTTTCTTATAACAATAACAAAAAATTCACTGTAGAACTAGAAAATTCAGTGGGCAAAAAGGAAAAAATTATTTGCATGTCGGAGTGTATATGTATATGAATGTATTCTTTTGTCCATTTGTTTTTAAAAGTGAGTTATAAATACATTTGGTAAGGGATTTAAAATGCACAAATTTTAAGCTTCATGTTTTTTTTTTTAAAAACTAAATGATTTTATCCATGTAAGTAACACTAAGTTAACATGGAGAATAAACTTTAAAAACAATATTTTGAAAACATCTGCTTATACCAATTCCTAAAAACTGCTAAGTTGTAATTTTAATGAGTGCGAGGAAAAGTGTGTCTCTGCCATATTTAATAATTCTTTAGCCATTTGTGTTCTCAGGTTTTATTCTGTTTTGTTCTGAGTATTATGAACAATATAGGCCACTTGGGTACATATATCTTTGCATTCTTGTCTCATTCTATAAATCTCTTCAAGTGAAATTTCTGGGCTCTACTATAAGACTTTTGATACCTCTTGTTGTATTCTGTCCAGAAAGATAGTAATTTATAAAATTTGCAATATAATAGTGCCTGAATGACCCATACCAAACCTGGTTTACTTACTATTCTCTAATTTTCTGAGAGGTGCAAGTGATAGGGTTGTTCAGATACACATTTTGAATACTAATGAATATTTTTATGCTATTTGCATTTTGTTTTAAATGTGTTCATCTGATATGCCAGTGTGTTTCTTTACTCTGCAGAAATGTCACATTTTTATATGGTTAGACATGAAAACCCTGCCTTCATGTTTGGGCCTCTGGCATCATGCCATCTAGTCCATTATGATGATCACAGAAATGCTCATTTGTATTTTCTTCTAGTTCTTTAGTTGCATTTTATGTGCAAATTCTTCTTTTCCAAATGGTAAGCCCTTGTGCCAAATTATTAGATAATTCATCCTTTCTTCAATGACATGAAGTTCACGTTTTTAATATCCTGAATTCTAATATATAATTTTTCTGAACTATTTGTGTTGGCAGGATATTAATTTGTTCCATGAACTCTTTTTCCCCTTTAGACACTATCATCCATGAGGATAGAGAGATTACCCTCTACTCTCCTGGGTGGTACCTGTTTGCAGCTGTATTCACCCCTTCCCACCCACAGGTAGTTGCAGGGCCAGGGCTTCTCAGGGAACACAAGAAGTCACATCTCTGCCAGGTACAGTCACAATGATTGCACATCAGTCTGCTACTTTGAACAGGTGCCTGGTACACGGCAGGTGGTCAACAATATCTGGTGAATGAGTGATTCTACCATTCAGTAACACTGTGCTCTAATTATAGTAGCTTCATAATATCTGATGGGCAAGTTCTTGTTCACCACTGTTCCCTTTCAGAAATTTTCTGGCTGTTGTTATGCAACACAACTTTAAAAAAAATCACCTTTTTCATAATTAACTTTAAAATATTATTAGTTTGGTGTAATTTGTATGTCTCTTGGATTGGTATATATATTCCAAATAAGCTTAGTAAAATCAACTTACTAAAAATCATACCTTTGTTTATGTAGATCATGTACACATGTTATTTGCTTTATCTGTAGGTATTTTATTTTTGGTTGTTGATGAAGTCTCCTTTCTCATGGCTTTTCTTTCCGTCAGCTCTGCCTCCTCCTCCTGCCCATCCCTTAGGAAGGACCCCACAGGAAGGAAGGAGAAGGCAATGGCTGCTGGGCTGCTACCATGGGGAGCTCAGGTGAGTTCGTTTTTCAGTCTCTGACCTCTCCCTCATTTCTCACCTCTGTGCTGCAGGTGGGCTTCATTGCAAGACAGGGCTGTTGCGATCTCTGAGTGTGGGCTATTTTCTGAGTGTGGGCTATTTTCTGAGTGTGGGCTATTTTCTGAGTGTGGGCTATTTTCCACAAAGCTCTCCCTTCCGTTTCACTCAGCTCTGTTCTCAGCTGTCACTTCCTCATTCGGCTGGTCAGTTGAGCTCTTCGTGCTGTTCAAGTGTCAGAAAAGGAACAGGCATCGTGTGAGAGATGGTCCTGGTACTTGCAGGGCTAGGGCCTCTCTGGGAACACAAAAAGTCACATCTCTACCAGGTGCAGTCATGGTGACTGCATGTGAATCTGATCGTAAGAACAGGTGTGGTTGGCACACAGCATGTCAGTGTTCCAAGACCTGGGGAGGGAGAAGACCAGTGTGGCAGCCAGGAGAAGTCCCAGGGTTGAGTACGGGTAATGGGAGAGGATATGCTGTAATGCAGTCAGAATGGCCCAAGTTTCAATCCTGACCACCACTTAATAACTGTATTTTCATGGGCAAGTGACTTGAGTTCCCCTAAAGCATTAGTTCCTCATGGTGATGATAGAAGTAACAGATTAACTGAGTATTTGCTATATATTTGACATTGGTAAGAATTTCACATGGCATATTCCATTTACTAATACCTACTTCATACATTTTTTGAAAGTTCAGGTGAAGTAACGTAAGTAAAAAGTTCCCAGCATGGTTTCTAGGATGTTGAAGCAATAGATGGGTGGAGGCACCCTTAGCACCATTGCAGCCAAGAGCTCGGTGTTTAGAGTTTAGAGGTGGAGTGGAACATAGCCTTGACTGGTAGTGAGGAGTCAGATGCATGGTTTGGGGTCAGGTGCCGGGAAGGAGGAATTTGTATGTCGGTGAGGTGGTAGGTGTGGAGTGGCAGGAGTTTTGATAAGGGAGTTGTCATAGAACTTTTCCAGGGAGAAGCGGTGTCCATTCACTGGAGGAAATCAGGGAGCAAAGACGGTGAGGAGAGGCGCTTTCAGCTGTTCTGCCCTCATTGCTTTAAAATAAAAACTGCTAGTTTTTACTAGAACCTGGAGTTACTGCTTCTCTGGAAAGGAACTCAGACATCAGGGGGACTTGGCCCAAGAGATCCTACATTTTATTTAATGTTTCTTTGTGTGTTTTTTTTTTAAGGTTAGGCTGACTTCACTGGTCTGCAGTCCTGAGGGACTCCTGGTCTTCTCTGTACTCATGAGATCATGTGTGAGGCTTCTCTTACATGTGCCGCTTGTCTGTTCACCGCAGGAGCCAGTTTTAAGAAGGCTTCTTGAAGACAAGTATTAACTGATGTGATTTCTGTTTGTATTACTTTCTCTCTCTGATATCATCAAGCTCAGTTATAAAAGGCAACATAACTAACTAAAATGGGTGTTAGAGAAAGGAAGTTTCTAGAAGAGGGAGAGCATTCAGAAGATTTTGGTTGATGAAGGTTATAGTTTCATTGTCACTGGCCTTGGTTTTATGTAGTTAAAACAGTGTTATTGAAGTTTTAAAATCTGCTTTATTTCAGGTATAATTTATATAAAATAACCCATTTTGAGCTTATACTTCATTGAGTTTTGACAAATATATCTCTTGTCTCCTTAGTCTCCCTTAATCTGGAACAGTTCCTCAGTTGTTGTCATTGGTGACTTTAACACTTTTTTTTTTGTAATCCTCACCCGAGGATGTGTTTGTTTATTGATTTTAGAGAGAGAGAGACAGGAACATCCATTAGTTGCCTCCTGTACATGCCATGACTGGGATCGAACCTGCATCCTAGGTATGTGCCCCGACTGGGGATCAGACCCGAGGTGGTATGGGACGACGCTCCAACCACCCGAGCCACCTGGCCAGGGCACCTCAACACTTTTGAAGAGCGCAGTAATTGACCTGGGATACATTGGTGCAACATTAGAGCTGTTTTCCTTTCTTCATCTTTCCTCCTATTTTTAACTGGTGATGTGACTATGAATTGTTCAAGTATTTGCCTATAAGTTATGTATGTATTTCTCACCTTAGGACATTTTTTCATTGCTTTTAGAGAAAGGGAGAAAGTAAGAGAAGGTGATTGGTTGCCTGCTCATATACGCTCAGATGGGATCCAGTCCACGACCTTTAGGTCTACCAGATGCCACTCCAACTGGGCCACACTGGCCAGAGCAAATATCTTCTTTTTCTGAATATAAATATTGGGCATATAGTTGTAAAAATATTTTTACAGCTATAAAATATACTTCTAAGCCCAGGATAACTATGGTTGTATATTTTTCTACTTCTTTTAAATACCTTTCTTACATCTTTTGCCCGTTTTTGTATTGGGTTGTTTATATGTAAAAAAAAGCCTTTTTTATAATGTGGGTATTAATCCTTTGTCATAAATTGCCAATATTGTTCTGTCATTTTTCTTTTAAATTTGTTTATAACATCTTCTGCTACAAATAAGGTTTGAAGTTTCATTCAGTTAAACTTTCCTTTTTCTCTCTTTGGCTTTGGAATCTTGTATGAAAGGCTTTTTCCACCCTAAGATTACATATAAATATATTTCAATGCTTTCTGTTTGTTTTATCATTTTTTTTAAGATTTTATTTATTTATTTTTAAAGAGGGAAGGGAGGGAGAAAGAGAGAGACAGAGAAACATCAGTGTGCAGTTGCTGGGGGTCATGGCCTGCAACCCAGGCATGTACCCTGACTGGGAATCGAACCTGTGACTCTATGTTTTATCATTTTACATTTACATCCTCGCTAGCTGGAATTCACTGTACATAATGTGAGGTTGGAACCTAACTTTAACCTAGTGAGGTGAGGCATTCATCCTCCACCCTTTCATTAAACAGATATCTAGCACCTGCTCACCAGTGTTTTGGATGCTGGGAAGATAGCAATGAATGAGCCAGGAGAGGTCCCTCTCTTTTAGACCTTCTGGAAGGGGGAGGCAGCAATGAAAAGGAGACATTCCTGAAGACATGGTTAAGCTGTGCTGGCCACACAGCAGGGTGGCATGGTCAAGGGTGACATGGTGGCTGGGGACTGGTTAGCCTGGCTGAGGGCAGAGCTGGAGTGGCATCTGTTTCTGCTATAGTACCATGGCTACTCTCTTTGTTTAGAATTCATTTTCTTATTTCACAAAGCAAATCTCCTTTTGTTTTTCTCTTCAAAATTTTGTTTACTGTACTATTCTTACACATTTATCCTTACAGTTGAATTTTATTAATTGTCAAGCTTTATTAACTTCATCAAATTCTAAAAGTAACTGTTAAAAACAAAAATATGCAATTTTGATTTGCAGTCCATTAAATCTATGTTAATTTGAGGAAGAGTACCATCTTTACAATGTTTATTCTTCCTACTGAGTAAAAAGTTATCCTTCATGTTACTGAGATCTTCATTATGGCTTCTATTAACTTTGATCGTAAGGATCTTACATATTCTTATTAAGTGTATTTTCCCATGTTTAATTTTTTTGTTGTTGCTATTGTGATTGTTATTTAGCCATGATTGGGATTTTGCAAAAAAAGAAAAAAAATAGATTGCTAAGAATTCTGACGGCAGTTTGCTGCTGTGGTGCCTCAAACTACACACTTGTATCTTCTTTATAAATTATACTTTCATCATTTAAAGTATCCCTATTTATTTCATTTGATACTCCACCTTTTTAAAGAATAACACTGTACAAAGGTCTGGGTTTTAGGTTACGTGAATGAGGTAAAGTCATGAAGCTGCTTTTTTTTTTTAAGCACCATGAGTCAGCTGGGCTTCATGTACAGCTGGGAGAAACTGACCCAGACCAAGTGGAAAGGAGAAAAGGAAAAACTGCCTTGGTGGATCAACAACAGATACATTTTATGAACAATAAAGGATTAACAACATAGTTTTTGAACGGTATTGTCAGGTTTCACTTTCTCCTTTAAGATGCCTTTTTGTGCTTCCCTAAACCAGTGTTCCTGAGCCCGTGGCCAGCACGGGCCCACAGGACAGGTCATGGTCAATAAAAGACAAGCTTCGGGTCCTCTAAGGGCTCTGCACTCAGGGCACGAGAGTCTGGGGAAGAGAAAAAGACAGTCCATTTGAGTCTGAATTTGGGCTTTTAATCTTGCCTGCTATATTTGGCTAACAAGGCAGTTGACTAAAAAAGTGGATTAATTTTTGGAGAGAGAATGCCATATTTCTGATCTCTATCTTTTCTCACAAACCAGGGCTTCCTGTTTTGTTTCCACATATATTCTGCCTTATCTGATACTTCTGTGTTCTCCCTGCCTATTTTTCATTTGCAGTTGCCTGCTATATCTTGTCTTAACAACCCCCCCTTTTATTTTAATTTTTTGGTTTGTGTTTTAGATCTGTCTCTTACACATGCCATATAACGATTTTCAACCAATTTTAGAGTTTTTGTCTTCTAAGATAGAAAGCCAACCCATTTACGTATGAGGATTTTTTTGCGGTTACTTAATGTTTCTGGTTATTATGCTTGCTTGTTTCTTTTTGTTAACAAAATATGTTTAGGCTATAATAACAAATAGAATGTTTATTTGAGCAAAGGAGGGATTGCAGCCTAGGGTACTCTGCATTTCATGTGACAGTCATAGCAGTGCTTAGTCCCTCTGATTTTCTTCATCTCACCTCTTCCTTCCTTTACATTTGTTGAATTGATGATTTTTCTTGGTTCCTTTTTTCCTTCTTAAAGTGGAAATTCTGATGTGTATTTATATCCACTATAGTAGCTACTTTTTTCTTGATAATATTTGTCAGTGCTTTTTAACATTTTTTATTTTGATCTATTGTTTAAATAAATATTCAGAGAAAACAATGAGGTGGGAAGAAAGATAACAACCCTTGTTCCTCAGTGCTGACATTGTCTCTGGAGTTCGTAGCCAGTTGGACGTAAACTATACAGGTCGAAGTTGGTTTTATCCCATCTCTGGTCTCTCTCATTCTTTTTCCTCACTGCACTTCTCCCCTTTGCCCATTTACGTACTGCAGTATTCTCTGTCAGTAAATGAAAACCTTTTCTATTATTTTATTTCCATTACTTATTTTCTGAAGTCTTGTTTCTCCTCTTTTTCACACCTGGCTGCTTCTGATTTCTAACCTTCCATTTATTCTTTTATCTACTACAGGGTGACTCCTGCCTTTACCACTTGGCTGCAATTAGCTCATTTTCAAGTCAGCAGCTCTCTTTTAAGTTGTCATGCTGTTTGAACCACTCCCTCTCCTTGAAACTCTCTTTCTTCACCTGTTGATCCTGAATCTCCCTTCCAGTCTGGCTCTCACTCTCTTGCTTGCCGGAGGTGCTAGCATTCTGTTCTTGGCCTTCTTCTCATCCTACAAGCACCAGAAGTCAGGTGGCCTTGTGTTTGAGTCCCAGCTGTGTGACCTTGGAGAGGTTATGTAACCTTGATCAGATTCCTCATCTATGAAATGACTGGTTTCTCCTTGTATTAGTCAGGGTTCTCCATAGAAATAGAGCCTATAGGATATGTGTGACTATGTGGAAAGAGGTTATGAGGAGTTGGCTCATGCAGTTATGGAGGCTGAAAAGTCCCCATGATCTGCCATCCACAGACTCACGAGAGCCAGTGCTGTAGTTCCGCTGTAAACCCGGAAGCCTGTGGTCCCAGGGACCCACAGTGTAAGTCCTGGTCTGAACCTGAAGACTCACAAACTGGGGACACTGGTGTCTGAGACAGCAGATGTGGCCGTCTCAACACAAGCAGAGAGAAAATTCATCCTTCCCCATCTTTCTGTCCTCTTTGGGCCATCTCACTGTCTCTGGTGAGGACTGATCATCTTTCCTCGGCCTGCCCATTCGAAGCCAAGTTCCCTCACAGAAACAGCCATAAGTACTGCTTTACCAGCTACCTGGGCACACCATAGCCCCATCAAGTGGTCCTAAAATGAACCATCACACTTGGTAAACACACCGAATGCTTATGGTGGTTTTTTAAAACTGTATTTTATTGATTGTGCTATTACAGTTGTCCCATTACCCCCCCTTCATTCCCTTCCACCCTGCACACCCTCTTCCACCCAAATTACCCTACTTTAGTTCATGTCCTTGTGTCATAAGTTCTTTAGCTTCTACATTTCCCATTCTACTCTTGCTCTCCCCCTGTCTATTTTCTACCTACCATCTATGCTACTTGTTCTCTGTACCTTTTCCCCCCTCTCCCCCTCCCACTCCCCTGTTGGTAACCTTCCATTTGATCTCCATTTCTGTGGTTCTGTTCCTCTTCTAGTTGTTTGCTTAATTTGCTTTTGTTTTTGTTTTAGGTGTGGTTGTTAATAATTGTGAGTTTGCTGTCATTTTACTGTACATATTTTTTATCTTCTTTTTCTTAGATAAATCCCTTTAACATTTCATATAATAAGGGCTTGGTGATGATGAACTCCTTTAACTTGAACTTATCTGAGAAGCACTTTATCTGCCCTTTCATTCTAAATGAAAGCTTTGCTGGATAGAGTAATCTTGGATGTAGGTCCTTGCCTTTCATGACTTGGAATACTTCTTTCCAGCCCCTTCTTGCCTGTAAGATCTCTTTTTAGAAATCAGCTGACAGTCTGATGGGAACTCCTTTGTAGGTAAAGGTCTCCTTATCTCTCGCTGCTTCTAGGATTCTCTCCTTCATTTTAATCTTGGCTAATGTAATGATGAGTCGCCTTGGTGTGTTCCTCCTTGGGTCCAACTTCTTGGGGACTCTCTGAGCCTCCTGGACTTCCTGGAAGTCTATTTCCTTTGCCAGATTGGGGAAGTTCTCCTTTATTATTTGTTCAAATAACTTTTCCTCTTGTTGCTCTTCCTCTTCCCCTTCTGGTACGTCTATAATTCAGATGTTGGAATGTTTAACGATGTTCTGGAGTTTCCTAAGCCTCTCTTCATGTTTGTGAATTCTTGTTTCTCCATTGTTTTCTGTTTGATAGTTTCTTTCTTCCTTCTGGTCCACTCTATTGATTTGCGTCCCAATTTTGTTTCCATAACTATTGGTCCCCTGTGCGTTTTCCTTCATTTCTCTTACCGTAGCCTTCATTTTTTCATCTAATTTGTAACCCAATTCAACCAATTCTGTGAGCATCCTGATCACCAGTGCTTTGAACTGTGCATCTGATAGGTTGGCTATCTCTTGGTCGCTTAAAAGTATTAACTCTGGGGCTTTCATTTGTACTTCAGTTTGAGCTTTTTTTTTTTTTTAATCTGGTTGCACTTGTTACGTAGTGAGGGGCAGAGCCTTAGGTGTTCTCCAGGGCAGGGCAACTCAGTCACTGGGTTGTGACGCCCTATGTGGGGGCGGGGTCCAAGAGGAAACTATGGTGCTTGCTCCGCTGTTGGATTTCAGTCCCTTCCACCACTTCCCCCAAGCCAACTGAGCCTTTCTGGTGCTAATTCCTGTGTGGATGGGCCTGTGTATATTCCAGGACCCCGTGGGTCTCTCCAACGAACTCTCCTGTGAAGTTGGGAGTCTCTCCCTGTGCTTCAACCCCCACAGGTGTTTTCAATCAGTGCCCCGAGACTCTATTTCCCATCATTGGGACCCTGGGTGCCTTGCTTCACAATCACTGCCTTGCTGGGTCTGCCAGTTGCCACCCCACGCCCGGGGTCTACCAGCCACTGCCTGTGCGCCCAGGATCTGCCCGCTGCGGTCTTGTGTGCCCAGGATGCCTTGCACGCCCAGTCCCACAGCTCTTCGTGCTCTGACCCCTCTCCACCCCGGCTCTGCCTCTCCTACCGGTCTGGCTGAATGTGTGTATTTTAACTCCTTGGTTGTCTGACTTCCATACAGTTCAGTTTTCTGCCAGTTCTGGTTGTTATTCTGTTTTTAAATTGTTGTTGTCCCTATCTTGGTTGTGTGAGGAGGCACAGTGTGTCTACCTACGCCTCCATCTTGGCCAGAAGTGCTTATGGTATTTTATTTCCAAGCCTAAGGGCTAGAGAACAAGGTTGAAATGGGCATATAAATCTGAAATGCCATTCAAGTCAAGCTGCTTTTTTTGGTTCTCTCATAGACCAACCTGTCCAGATTTGTGCTGTTTGCATGCTTTTCCCTAATAACTGGGATTCCTACCTCTATTGTAAGGGCTGCAGTTCCATGTGCTGTCTTGGCATCTTTGAGCCTTACTGGGCTTCAGAGACGTACCAGGAGTTCCCCTGCTCTCGCTGAATACACCCCCTCCACCTGCAGGGTTCCCCACCCAGCTAGTGTTCCTGTCGGCCCCATCAGGGGCACTTTCCCAGTCTTCAACCTAATGGGTTTCATCTCCCAACCCATGAAATTGTCCCAGTAATCATATCTTCCCCTGGTAACCAAAGGTCACCTCACCCTTTGTCATTGTCAAGCCTGCCTTCCACCTCCCTGCTGGTTCATGGCTCCTGAGCGCATCTGTGTGGTGTGTAGTATCTTCTTCCTTGGGCTGTTGGGAGTCTCCTCTGCCCAGGCCAGGCATGGGTGCTTAGTCATCCAGTGCTGTCTAGGGTGGGAACCCCTCTTCCCATGGGGTGGATGGGAAGCCATCAGGACAGTGGTGACTGGAGTGGCCTTGGTGCCATCCCCATGACTCCTTGTACCTCTGCTCCTTGTCCTTATGTGCCAGAGCACTTTCTGTTTGTCTTCATAATGTTGCAGATGTTTAGTTTCTTTTGGAGAATGACATGTTTTTTCCTCACACAGATCTCTATCCTGTCCCTTCCGAGACTGCTTGTTTTTACTTGCTCAGAGGGTTTTGTTGGCATAATCCTGTATTGAGCTGGACTTTGTAGTTTCAGGAGTCAGCGACACTCAAGGATGTGTGTGGATTTCACTTGGGAAGAGTGGATTCATCTAGCCTGTGCTCCGAGGAAGTTGTGTGGGAACGGGACACCGGAGAACTATAGGAGTGTGCTCTTCCTGGGTGAGGACTAACCCCTGTACCTCACCTTCCCCCACCTTGATTGACCTCTTGTACAACCTGGGAGATTCATGCATTTAGACTAGAAATCCTGTGTACTGTGGGGCATTGTTTTAGGGTAGCTGCTTGGTGTCCTGTCTTTCCAGATGAAAGGTCTTTTTTTGTAGAGAATTGGAAAATGGGAAATGCAGCAGCCCACCTCCCTTTGATTCAGAAGCCCTGAAGGGGAAGGAATAAGGACTTGTGTTGAAAGTGGCTTTTATACTCAGTTCAGAACACAAGTTTAGTGTCTTTCTTCCTGAGCAGGGCATCACCTTTCCAAACCAGATGTGATTTCTCAGTTGGAGTGAGAAGGACTGAGCCTGATGCAAAAGAGCTTCCAGGGGCGTCTCTGTAGGTAAAGTATCAGTCTTGTTACTTGAGTGTGTCACTGGGGAAGAAGTCACGCCAGAGATCGCTGGGTGCCTTGGGGAGACCTGCATGTTCAACGTGTGTTCTCTTGAACGTCTCCCATGATCGGTGCCACGCCTCCTCCCTGGTGTGGTATGTCCTTGCCTTGGTGACACTGTGTGGGGTAAATGAGTGTTGCACTGCCTGGGACATCCCAGAAAGGAAGTAAATATTAGTGATTGCTTCCCATTTCTTTCTCACTCTGCTTTATTCTCTTTGTTCTCTGGCATGGGTCTGTCTTAGCCATAACCTGTATCTATAGCTTCCTTTCCCGGATAACTTAACATTTTTCTTTCTCTGCATTGTATCAGTGCTTTAGGGTCTTTATTTAAAGACCAATGAAAATGACTTCAGCTGTGTTTTTTTGTTTTTTTTTTACCAGTAATGTTACATTTTTCTACATTTTCATTCTCATTTCAAAGTTTGTAATCTGCATCAACTGCCTATTCAATCTCATTCTCCTCTAAAAACTTAATACTTAATCTTTATTATCTGGTTTCTAATCCCCTTCACAACTAAAATGTCTCTTTCAGATGTTATTACTGACTTTCTGTGAAAAAGTGTTCTACACCTTTATATGTGCTCTGCTCAGTGCGAAAGTGTTGGTCACCACTTCTTTTTATACATGTTTAAAATTATGAGATAAGCAAGTAATTTTTGATCTCTGGTTAGTGTATGCTTACGGATATATAATGCAATAAAAAAAAGTCAGTGAAAGAACATATTGATAGGAAAGAAAATAATCTAATGAACATTGTTTCTGATTTCCAGTAAGCTTTCTAAGGAATGGGATTCTAGAAGAATCACTGGTCAAAGGATACTACATTTTTAGGGCCCTTGCTACATATGGCACAGCTTTGGATACTGTGCTTTTTAATGCTAATTTATTAGGTATAAAATGATCCCTTCATGAGCATTAATTGCCTTTATTACAGATCTGTGTGGATTTGATTACTATTGCTATTTGTACTTATTCTTAATATAAATAACCTATTTATTCAACGGTTGTTTTTTGAGCATTACGCCCTGTTCATAGCACTGCAGATACAGCAGTAACCAAAACAGGCAGTTTCTCTGTGGAGCTTATAGCCCTAGTGAGGGAGACAGTAAATTACTAAAGGAAAACAGCAGGGAGGGGGAAGGGGCAGAAGGGGGGGTGGGGGTGGGGGCAGTGGGGGACAGGAAATGAGTATTACAGAGTCATGGTGCTGGGGGAAGAGAGCAGCATCAGGAACTGCAAGTGTTAACAGTGCTGTGTGTATATATCTATATATATAGATATATATAAAATATTTATAATATATGTATTTATTATATTTATATAATATCTATATTTATTTCAAGGAGGCCTTTCCTCTGAGGTGACTGATGGGCCCCAAGGGGGCACTCTAGGCACAGGGGACAGCAGGTACAAAGACCTGCCTGTAGGGGTTGCATGGTGTTGTTTGAAGGGAAGAGTGTAGGGAGATGTGAAGATTTTCCTAAACTTTCTTCTGTGAAAAAATTTATTTCTACTGTCTTTTTTTTTTTAATTTCTGTGAGCCTTCTCATTCTCTGAGTGTTCCTTTTTTTATTGGGTTGGCCAAAAAGTTTTAGTATGATGGCTCTAGTGCTTAGTTGTCTTTAACTTCATTTGAAACAATTTTGTTAGATTGTACTGTGACAGCTGTCATATCAGCCTGCATTAAAAAAAACTTACCAAAATTGGTGAATTTTTGTGCAGCCATTTTAATACCAAAGATGGAAGAAGATACACATTTTCAGTGTATTATGTTTTATTATTTCAAGAAAGGTTATATCCAGTGCAACTGAAATGCAAAAAAAAAGATTTGCGCAGCGTATGGAGAAGGTACTGTAGCTGATGGAATGTGCCAAAAGTGGTTTGTGAAGTTTCTTGGTACTATTGACATTTTGGTCAAATAACTCTCTGCTATAGGGCAGTCTTACCCATTGGAAGATGTTTAACAGCACCCTTGGCCTGTACCCACTAGAAACCAGTAACAGGAGATAGCCAACAGACTCAAAATAGACAAATCAGCAAAGTGATTGGTGAAAATGAAAAGTGTCTTTTATTTTGTGGAGAAAGCCATATGGACTTTTTGGCTAACTCAATAAATAGCTGTCTATTTTTATGCATTCATTAACTTGTCTGTATGAAGATATTTAAATTATTTGGGTTTGTGTGTTTAGCATTTTTTCCCTTGCTCCCTACATTTTGGTGGGTTTATATAGGCTTTTTTGAGTATTCCACTGTCATTTTGGTGGTTTTTCTGGACACAGCAGAGGCAAACACATGTATTCTTGATACCTTGTTTTCTTCTCCCATTTCTTTACCTGTCTTCAGACTTCTCCATTGGGCTAGATCCTACAGATTCTTCACTTGTTTGTGACTGCATTTCACTCTATTTTCCTTATCTCTTTGAAAATCTGCACAGCAACTAGTGTGTAGGCTCACTGAGTTGTCATGAGTGAGCTTACTTCTCTTTATAACCTCTACCTACCACAGTTCCTGCCAGAGGTGTTTACTATATGTTTGTTGAGTGACTACTGAATGACATCCAGTAGAATTTTTAGAAATCAGGTGAAAAGACAGATTTGAGAGTTATATGTGTGACATATCAATTTGTCCTGTTAATTATCAGGAAGGGTAAATGATAGGGCAAAGCAATGAGGATGAAACCCCAAAGAACAATAATGTTTGGCTGGGAGCCACGGATGCTCCAGCAAAGGTGACAAAGAATGGTCAAAGGAGGAGGGAATTTTGGGAGAGCTGGGCCAAGGAAGAAAGAGAAGTAGAGGGTGAGTATACCAGTGCCGAGAGGGAAAGAGAGGTGGTCCGTGACCCTGGGAGGAGCACTTCTGGTGTGAGGGAGGCATGCTTTGGTTGAGAGCAGACTATTGTTTTCAACAAGGTTAGTTTTAAGGAAAGGGAAGAAAGGGCAAGATCTGAAAGAAGTCATAGGCAGGGTGCCTCTGGTTTGTTTCCACCCAGGAGGAGACTTGACTGTATTTACAAGAGCAGAGGTATGTGTTACAAAGGAGACACTGAGTGTGTGGAGCAGGACATGCGATGATGTGCAAACTGCAGATCTTCCTTCCAGATTTTCTTCCATGTTCTTGTTGGATTAAGCCACAGTTTCATCGCACTGTGCTGTCCAAAACCGAGACAAGAAAACATTGCTTGAGTGCTACACTTGGCTCTTGCCTGGCCATCATCTGATGTGTTCCTCACAACATTCCGTGGGGTAGGTATCTCAGCCCCTTTCTCAGGGGAAGACATAAACTCAGAGAGGCAAAATCACACGCCAGAATCTGAACACAGGCTGTTTTGCTTTGTATGTTTTTGTTTTGGAGTTTAACACTAAAAAAAAAAATCATTATTTTCTTTCCTTATCTTGCTACAACTTCTTAGTTCCTAGTATATTTAGTAAAAGTAGGCTACACCCTGGCCTAATATTCTTTTTAGATGATTGTTTTCTGTTCCTGTGCTAGTTTTCATGTGTACAGTTGTTGAATGCTTCATTAGATTTTGCTATTTTATCAAAGGTGGGTACAAAATGTAAATTTAGAAGTGCTATTTTTGGAGACAGTATTATCACTAGTAAACTAGTTAATGTTGAAATAAAGATGGAAATTATTAGTAATGTAGAAAACAGTAAATTTTTAGCTTTCAGTCAGTGGTTGTTAGACTTAAATCAGTTGAGGTTCAGTATTGAAGGAAACAAAAGTTAAGAATATGTATAAAATGTTAGAAATCTATTATCAAACATTATACCTAAAAAATAAGGTGCAATTAGAGTCTATAACATTTAAAGCTCTCCAGGAAGCTACTGTTAACTACCACTGCACCCAGAAACCTGTTGTTTGTGTTTCATACATAATTTTGTAACATCCTCAGAGATGTACTGGATTACTATGTGTATGTGTGTGTGTACACAACACAGAGAATTTATATCCTGTTACAGAGACCCTGTCTACCTCATGCTAACATGAACCTCACTAATGTTTAGTAGACACATGTCTTTGCTTCCATTAATAGGAAAACTGATGTAAAAGACTAAAAATGTAGCAGTGTCCAAAAGCTTGTTCATCCTTGCCCAGGGTGACCAGCCCTGCCCCTGAGGCATCCACACTGCATGTCCTATGTCTGGGTTGCTTTCCTTTCAGTAGGCCTGCGATTCCTCCTCAGCCCCTAAAGTCCTTGCTTCAGTCACTTTTTCAACCCTAACCCTAATCCTAACCTTTGTGCAAATTGAATACTTAATATTTTAGGTCTGTTTTAAGAGTGCTGTAATCACTGAATCTTTCATACATAAGAAAGTGCTTTGGTTTTCTCTGTACAACTGTAGAGTACTGGCCAAGTTTAATTCCTGAGTCACATAAGCCAGTTTTTAAAAAATTTTTAGGTAATTGATTTTTTAATTAGGGAGCAGGTCTTCAGAATTAACTTTTGAATTAGGTCTCTAAATTTCATGAAGATAAAATGAATCTTACTACTAAGTTTTCTGTAGTAGATCATGATGTTTAAACTTAAAATGATTAATATTTTCCAACACAGAAAATATTTTGTTCTTCTCGTTTTTTAAAATGTTATATATGAATGAGAATGTGTAAAACATATATTATTTAATGAAATCTGACATAACTCTTCCAATATAAATGCTATAAATATTAACTGATTCTTGTTCTTACCTCAACACTGTGAGATAGGTACCATTTAACAGGTGAGAAAACTGAAATACAGATGTGTTAGGTAACCTGCCCAAGGTCACACAGCTAACAATGATGAAGCTGAAATTTGAGCCAGCTAGTATGGCTCCAGAGTTATTATCTTAACCATTATGCCATACTGCTGCTGCTTACAGGTAATAATGTTAAAGGCTAATGAATGCCTAGGACCCTGATAAGAAACAGAATATTACTGGTATCCTTGCCATGCTTTTGTGTGCTCCTCATTCACACACTCTCACCTCTCTCCCTTGGATGTAACCACTATTCTCACTTATGATCATTCTCTTCCCTTTTTGTTAAAGTATTGCCATTCATAAATGAACTTGTAAGCAGTGTGTTAGTTTTAATCAGTTTTTAAACTTTATTTAAGTGGACTCTGTATACATTTATTTTTCTCTAACTTTGTTTAAATTATTCATATTGACATGTGTAGCATTAGTTTATTAACTTTAGTCTTAGTTTAGGCTCTTATGACGGAATATCATAGCTAGGTGGCTTAAAAATCAAACATTTAATTTCTCACTTTTCCAGAGCCTGTAAGTGTGAGATCAGGGTGCTTGCGTGGTTGGGTTGTTGGTGTGGGCCTTCATCCTGGTTCATGGACAGCTGCCTTCCTGCTGTGTTCTCACATGCTAGAGAGCAGAGAGACAGGAAGCAAGTTCTCCCATCTCTTCTTATGAGGGCACAAATCCCATCACTAGGGCTCCACCCTCATGACCTAATGACCTCCCAAAGGCCCCACCTCCTAATACTATCCCATTTGGAATTTGGCTTCAACATAGGAATTTTCGGGAGACCAAAATATGAAGTTCATAACATTTACTGTTGTTAATTATTCCATTGTATAAATGTTTGACAATTTAGTTATCCATTCTATCATTGATGGATATTTGTATTTCTGATTTTTTGCTATTGTACAATGCTACTTTTAAAATTATGAATTATGGAATAACTTTGCAAGTTAGATTTACCTAGATGTGTGCACCTAACAGTGGTCTTCCTTTTCTTCAGTACCTATTTGTCTTTTGCTCATTTTTCTAGTTTAGTGTTCCATAGACATTGTTTTCCAAATCTAGGTTCTAGTTTATTGGTCATTGTTACAGATATATTTTCCAAGTATGCAACTTTTTAAAAACTTTTGTCTTTTGATTTTTATGCTGCTTTTTTCCTTCTCATTCTGTTATTTTAAAGATTTACTTAACCCTCTATAATTCAGGGGTGTCCAACCTGCAGCCCACATGCCGCATGTGGCTCAGGACAGCTATGTATGTGGCCCAACACAAAGTTGTAAATTTACTTAAAACATTATGAGATTTTTTTGTGATTATGTGTCACAGTGTATTCAATTGTGGCCCAAAAAAACTTCTTCCAGCATGGCCCAGAGATGTCAAAAGGTTGGACACCCTGCTGAGTCTACATAGTTTCCAAACTTGGTATTTTCTGTGTATCATTCATGTTTGGATGGAGGTAATTCTGTCTGGACTTTATATTTCTCTAACAATGTGAATGAATCATGGGTGACACTTGAAACATTCTCAGAGACTTCAGTTGGATATGACAGTGAAGTGGGGCAAGTGAACACCTCTAATTCATGTGTTGCCTGTTATCTTCATGTTTGATTGGCTAGGTCCTCTCTGTGGTAAGTTGGTGTGTATGTTTTGGAAGTGGAATCTGCTCGGCTTTCCATTTTTTTGTCTTTTTTTATGTAAGCAGGTCAGGTTGTAAGGAGGAGGTCCAGTTTATTGGTGCCCCTTGTTTCACAGTAAAGCCTCCTGCCCACTGGCCTTTGGTCTGTTGCTTCACCACTGATATCTGCTCTGTTGACTTTGATCAAAATTGACAGGCATATTCTCAGATTCTAGTTCCTGTCCTCTACCTCTCATTGCCTCCATGCCATTTTTGTCTGGGATAAAAAGATGGGATCTGAGAAAATAAAGTTTGAGTGGCTACAAGGTTCTTCCTTTAGTCCCCTCTGCAGTTCAACACTCTCCCTTGCTTGCCCTCACCACTAATTCTAAACTTTAAGGAATAGGTATTTAGGAAAACGTAGGGCCCTTTAGGGTTCTCTTAACCTTTGTGAGAAAATTATAGTCTGCTTGAAATTTTGGGTTGTGTTATCCTCCCTTGAGAGTTTGAGTTTCAAGTATGTTCTAGACAACTTTGTTCCCAAAGGGCAGATTATTCCTTATCAGATTATTCTTATCCTCATTTTATATCTGAAAACTCAGATGTAGAGAAACAAGTAACTAGTTAAGATGGTAAATATTCATTGCCAGGGTTTCAACCTATTTGTTTGACTCCAGAACTGGCAATCTTCACTGTCTCACAATGTGATCTTTTTGAAGATTTAGTATTAGAATTATAGGTGGGAAGAAGTGGCTGGTAGGAACACTAGGTACAACATTGCAGGGCTTTCCGATCTGCTCTTCCAATCCCAGTTCTTCTGTATATTTTCCTTTAGTTCCGTCTTCATTATTTATCCTTGTCCAGTGGTCAGTGACTTCAGTGTCTGTCCCTTCTGCATGGGCTCACTCTTTTCTCATCTTTGAAAGCTCTCAAATGTGCCATATATTCTCAATTTTGTTCTCATTTTTACCTTATAGTGTTCAGTCTCCCAGCCCAGAAACCAACGTGCATTTGAATTTTTTATGTTTTACAGACTGGGAGACAAGACTTGAAACCAAAAGGACAAGTCCAAAGCCCAACATTACCGAAGATTTATCCTATCTGGTAACAATGGAAAAGAAAGGTCTCTGGCATTCTTCTTTAGGGGAGACCTGGGAACCTGATAATTGGTTAGAGGGGCAACAGAAAAACCCAGATAGACATCTGGGTGAAGTGGCAATTACCCATAAGGAAACCCTCACTGAGAGGAGGGTATGTAGAGGTAATGAATTTGGAAGATGTTCCAGTCAGGGTTCAATCATTGATATACAACAAAGTATTCCTATGGGAAAAAGGTCCTGTTATCAGAATTCACATGGAAAAGATATTAAACAAAATTCTGAATTAGTTAAGATTCAAAGAATGCTGATAGGAAAGAAAATCTATGAATGTAATGAATGTGGGAAAGCCTTCAGCCAGAGCTCATCCCTTCTTAAGCACCAGAGGATTCATACTGGGGAGAAACCATATAAGTGTAATGTATGTGGGAAGCACTTCATTGAACGTTCCTCCCTTACTATACATCAAAGAATTCATACTGGAGAGAAACCCTACAAATGTAATGAGTGTGGGAAAACCTTCAGTCAAAGCATGAACCTTACTGTTCATCAAAGAACTCATACTGGAGAAAAACCCTATCAGTGTAAAGAGTGTGGAAAAGCTTTCCGTAAGAATTCATCCCTTATTCAACATGAAAGGATTCATACTGGTGAGAAACCCTACAAATGTAATGAGTGTGGGAAAGCTTTTACCCAAAGTATGAATCTCACAGTGCATCAAAGAACTCATACAGGAGAAAAACCCTATGAATGTAATGAATGTGGGAAGTCTTTCAGTCAAAGTATGCATCTTATTGTACATCAGAGAAGTCATACTGGAGAGAAACCCTATGAGTGTAGTGAATGTGGAAAAGCCTTTAGTAAGAGCTCAACTCTTACCCTGCATCAACGAAATCACACTGGAGAAAAACCCTACAAATGTAACAAATGTGGGAAATGCTTTAGCCAAAGTACATACCTTATAGAACATCAGAGACTTCATTCTGGAGTAAAACCTTTTGAATGTAATCAGTGTGGAAAAGCTTTCAGTAAGAATTCATCTCTTACTCAGCATCGGAGGATTCATACTGGAGAGAAGCCTTATGAGTGTGTTGTATGTGGAAAGCATTTCACTGGGCGATCATCCCTTACTGTACATAGGGTTATTCATACTGGAGAGAAACCTTACAAATGCAATGAGTGTGGAAAGGCCTTCAGCCAGAGTGCATACCTTATTGAGCATCAAAGAATTCATACTGGTGAGAAACCCTATGAATGTGATCAGTGTGGCAAAGCCTTTATTAAGAATTCGTCCCTTACAGTACATCAGAGAACTCATACAGGAGAGAAACCCTATCAGTGTAATGAATGTGGGAAAGCTTTCAGTCGGAGTACAAACCTTACACGACATCAGAGAACTCATACGTGAGGAAAGTTTTCATCAGGCCCTTTACCATGGTTAACTTTTCAGTGATAATCAGATAAGTCATATAATGTAGAAATTGAATAAATGTGAAGATTTGGGGAATATTTTGGTTGACATATATTATACCATGTCAAATGATACAGACCACTGCAGAGAAACCTTAAAAAAGTGGAAAATCTTGATTCAGAAAGAACTTTGTATCAGAAGGTTTAATGTTCTAAAGAACATGCTGAAGATAAGTTCCGTTATATCATACTACAGATTCTCCTTTGGTTATCAGAGACTTCACAGTGGAGAAGAAATGTGAGAGTGCTTAACTGGACAGCTGAAAGACATGGAATGTACTCTGATCTGTCACTAACATGGACAAGTCACCTACTCTTACCAGGTCACAATGTCCGTATTTGGTAAATGAGGGATTTTGGATTTAGAAGGTCTTCAGGATCCCTGTGAGCTCTACAAAGCAACAAACCTATAAATATAAGGAATGCTGGGACATCCTTAATCTTTCACCATGTTATATGTTATTAGATGCCCCTGTTTTACAACCTGGTTTCCCTTGATGTTGTGAGTTAAAATTCTCTACCTCTACCAAATCTTTTTATTCCTCCATGCTCTTCCTTCTCCCTGCATTATTTTCTCCCCTAAAATACAGGCTGGTTGCTAACAGATGATGGGATAACTGTACAAATTTTAATGCAACAGCATGCTGTTTTGAGTTCTCAACAGTCATTAAATTGTTAAATAAGCTAATTATTTAGAAAATAAAATTTAAATATAGTGTTTACATAGGATTCAAATACATATCTTTGTATCATACTGTACTGAAATGGAAAGGAGAATAGGCTAAACACTAATAGACATGAAAATCTGACATATTAAGAAAGTCTTTGTAACTCAAAGCATATTCAGAACAATCTTATGGAGATTGTATAATTCTATAGATATGATAGTAGAAAAACTTTTATTTATTTCACATACATTTAATAAGTGCTAAACATGTGCTAAGATGATTAGAAAATCAAAGAATGTGCTGTAGCCCTGGCTGGTATGTCTCAGTGGTTGAATGCCAGCCTGTGAACCAAAGAGTTGCAGGTTTGATTCCTAGTCAGGGCACATGCCTGGGTTGCGGGCCAGGTCCCCGGTAGGGGTGTGCAAGAGGCAACCACACACTGATGTTTCTCCCTCTCTCCCTCCCTTCCCCTCTCTAAAAATTAAATAAATACAATCTTTTAAAAAAAGAATATGACATATTCTTGCTTTCTAAAGTTTAAACTGAGAAAATGGTAGTGGGATAGGGAAGGCAAAATTCAAGCAAAAATGATACAATCTAGATAATGTGGTTAACTGATTAAATGTGAGCACTTGAATTTTTTATTTGGATATATAGGTGTGCCATAATTAAAAATATTAAGTTGACCAATTTTGTGGGGCAATGATGAGTTCAGTCTGTGGGCATTTTGATGAATCTGTGGATATCCAAGTGAACATTCCCAATAGGCCATAGAATAAACAGTAGGGCAGTGATTTGAGGGTGCTCTAAGAGTACAGTAGTCCCCACCCTTATTTGCAGTTTGCTTTCCATGGTTTCAGTTACCCATAGTCAACTTAGGGTCCCAAAATATGAAATGGAAAATTTCAGAAATAAACAATTCATGTTTTAAATTGTGCACTGTTCTGAGTAGAGTGATGAACTCATACTATCCCACTACATTGCCACCACACTCCCTGTCATCATGTAGCCATTGTATCTTGGCACATCATCACAAGAAGGGTGAGTACAGTAGTCAGATACTTTGAGAGACCACATTCACATGACATGATTGTTTTTTTTAGTTACTGTTAATCTGTGCCTAGTTTATAAATAAAACTTTATCATAGTATTTATGGGTAAAAACATAGTTTATATAGTGTTTGGTACTATCCTTGGTTTCAGGCATCCACTGGGGGTCTTGGAATGTATCCCCTGATGGGGGGACTACTGTACTGTTACTGAATGGGGTTAAGTGGAAGAGATGGAATCAGTAGAAGCTGAGGGGAAATAACAACCAGAAGAAACACGAAAAACCAAAATCAGGAGCACGTGTTGACACAGAAGTAAAAGAATTTTAGTATAGGGACAGGAATAGTTAATATTTTCAAGTGCTGCAGAAGGTTACAGTAAGATAAAAGTAGAAAAATGGCCTTTGGCTTTAGTTACTGATAATCTCTAAATTTTAGTAGGTTGAAGAGTGAGTTAAAGGTTGAAAGGATTTAGTAGCTATACTAGGAAAGGAGTTTAGAAAGGTAACTACAAAGGGACTAGGGTTGAAAGAAGGTATGTCTGTCAGAAGAACTTCTGGCTTGACAAGAGTAGAATGTCCAGTTAACAATGGCTTACAACAAATAGGGATTTATTCCCTCACACAAGAAATCTAAGATGGGTGGCATTGGTACAGAGACAAAATAATTCAATGCCTTGAGTTTCATGGCTTTTCTATCATGGTCACATGGCTGCCATAGCTTCTGGTAAAATATCTGCTGCATTCAATGCAAGAAGAAAAGGAGTGGATAGCACTAGCAGCGTCTCTGCCTGTTATCAGAAGCCCCTCAGCAGACTTCTGCGTGCATCCTTGACTACAGCTGTGTTACATGGAGGCTAGTAGCAAAGGAGACTGAAAAAAAAAAAAAAGCCTTTCATTTTGCAGCCTCTATAATGGAGATGGACAAAGAAAACACGGCTTGAGAAAAGTGTTGACTTAGCCAACCAACAATCTGCTGAGAATTTGCATGATTTGAGGTAGAAGAATTGAGCATGTTTGTCACCTAAAAGTTGTGAAGAGTCTAAAGGTGCAGAAAGGACGGGATGAGCAGCTCAAAGTGGGGAAATAAGATCTGGAGCACAGGTAGAGGCTATAAGAATCTCTCACTGGGAGAGATGATGATCAATGGTGAGAGCATAACATGCCTGTAGGGGGCAATGGAGGACTCAATACTGGGACCTTGGGCAGTTCAATCTCCCTGAGTTATGTGACCTAAGCTTTAGGCATGGAGTTTGAACACTGAGGACCAAGGAGGAATTAAAATTAAACTATCATCAGACACAGATTTTTAATCTCTCTGTTAGACACTCAGTTTCCTCCTTTCTCTTCACCTGTTTTTCTTGTTACCTCACCTCAAGAGAGAAATGGAAGGGAAGAAAGGCAGAGAAGAAATGAGTAGAAAATAGGAGAATGTGATAGCACAATAAAGGCTCAAAGGGAAGGCACAAGATAAAGGAGAGAGGAAGAATGAAGTTATTGAAACCCAAGATGGATGCAATAACTCAAAAGCAGTAAAACTAATCTGTAGAGGGTGCACCAGGACCCTTGGGCCAGATCAATGGAGGTTTCACTAATTTTTCCCGAGTTCTGGAAGCCTGAGACCCTGTATGTCAGTTCTCAGCCATCCTGGGCAGCAAGTAATGAGGACAAACCTTTACACCTGCCCTCCATCAACAGGTGCAGGACTCCTGGTTCCATGTACTAGATTTGAGACCCTCACAAGGCACTTAACATTGGTACCTCAGTTTTTTCATTGTTCACAGGGAAACCTCATAGCTTTTGACTCCACTAGATAACTGATGCAAAGTGCTTATCAAAGTGCCTCACATGTAGTTCATGCACAACAACTCATTTAACATGGCATCCAGAACCCTTACTTATCTCAGAACGACTAGACTTTCAAAACATAACTCGTAAAAAGGTTATGGCACTGAGTAATAGCCTCCTAACGGGCTTTCCTGTGTTCCCTCTGGACCCACTCAGCCGACCAGTGATTCTGTCAGTGTGCCCAGCCAACCCCTGCAATGGTTTCCTATCACACACAGACTAAATTCTGCAATGGTTTTCAAGGCGTCTAGTTACCCTGGGGCCTGCTTCCGCTCTGCTCCCCCGAGTTCCCCAAGCTCTCTCCAGTCACATGGGCCTGGAGGCATTCCTGTCCCCTCTTCCTCTGAGGGCGCCTGACCAGGTATTTAGTGATTCCCTCCCTCACTGTGTTCCAATCTCTGTGCCATGTTATTTTTCCAGAGAACTCCCCAAAGCACCACTTAAAACTGTCAGGATGGGCAGGGTAGGACAAGTGGGAATCTAGTTACAATTAGCATTTTGGACTACAAATATGGCCATTTGGACTACAAGTAATATGGCAACTGAACTCTGACCCAGAAGAGGTGACTGACATCAGACCAGGAGCCACCAATGCTAAGTTGCTTCTTTGTTCACCAAGAACCAATCCTTGGCTCCCGGGGGAAGTCCAGCCATATAAAACTCCCAGCCTTTCCCTTCTCCCGTGCGGTCTTTTCTTAGCCCCTTCTCCGGGCGGGGAGAATGTCGCCCGGGAGCACAAACTTCCAAAATAAAGCTCATCTGCCTGTTTCCATGGCTAATTGGCTGTTTATTTCCTCGGCGGGGTCTAAGAAAAGCTTACAAAAACAATCCCCAACCTCTGTCATACTAAAACCTCATCGCAGCTTCACTGTTATCAGTACCTCATATTTTTACTGCCTTCCTCCTTGAATAGAATTAAAGCTACACAAGCGAAGGGGTTTCAGCCCCTAGAACTGTGCCTGACACATTAAGTGTTCCGAGTGGCTACACAATGAAACCTTCAGAAAACCCCAGACAATGCGGTAGTGTCACTTAAGTCACTGACACGGCTTTCTGATAAACCCCAGATCACACATGAGTATTTTTCACCACCGACAAAATTAAAACCCTCTCATCTTCCTGAAAATACGTATTCTAAGGCAAGTCCTGTCCGCAACAACAAATACCAGCCAGCGTCCCAGGAGGGCCGGCCTCTTTGGCAACCAGGCTTCGTCCTCTCCGGAGAAGTCGTCCAGGGCCAAATCTATTCCACCTGCTCTATGCTTCCCACGCACGGTGCCCGGGGCCACCACCCAGGTCCCGAGTCCGCATCCTTCAGCCCCTGATCACCCCGCACCCCACTTCTCGCCGAACCTCTGACGGCCACACTTGGTGTCGTTTGCGACCTCGGGGCGGACAAGCGTTCTCGCCTCCTTTTCGCGTCCTCCGCGCGGTCTTCCGTATGGAATGCGCCTTTTCAGCTTGTAGCATCCTATTCCGTCCTCCAGGGCCCTTCCCGATCCGCTCTCCTCACCGGATCAGGCGCCGCTCCACAGGACTAACCCATCTTATCCCACCGTCAATTTACTAGTATCTATCTCCTTGGGCGTTTTTTCAAGGCAAAGACCGAGTCCCAGCCAGAACGGAACCAAGACCACCACTGCAGGTCAACACTGGGGGAGTTATATGTTGAGTGGACCAGCATGCCGCGCAGAGGCCCTTGGGAAATGTAGTTTTTATCTGAAAGACTCTGGACCTGGCGGAGGGCGGGGGACGGGAGTTCAGGGAGGGGCAGTGTCTGTTCCGGGGCGCAGTACTTTTCTCTGCCTCGCGCTGATGCGGACGCTCATAGCGTATTTGTTAAATGGGAAGTGGCCCGGAAAGCTAAACACAGCAGCCCTGGAATCTGTGGGAATTCGGCTCTGCGGAGCACTAGGCAATGCGCAAGCGCAGTTCAGACCCGGCTGCAGACTCCAGTTCTTTGTGTTGTGTCTGCGATGTGGCGGTTGCGATCTGTCGCTGTCAGCAGGGGCTCCTCGAAGGGAAACGCCTTGGTGACCAGGCACGGTGGCCAGATCCTCTTCGGGAGGGCGAGAGCGGCCGTGGGCGGTGGCGCCCGGGGAGAAGGGCGGAGGGGAAAGCCCAGTAGGTCTGAGACATGCTCCTATCTGGAGGACGCTGCTCGGATGCCCCAAACTTCCCGGGATCTAAACCTGAGGTTGGATTCCCAGAGAAAAGGGACGACCAAGGGTGGGCTGTCGGGGTTCGGGCAGAGCGTGCGAATGCCCGCGGACGAGGAGGGGCAGGGCTTCGGCGTGAACTGGGGAGCCGGTTACGCCGGGGGGTAAAGGGTGCCCCGGGTAAGGCTGTGAACAGAAGTGGAACCCTTGGGAGGGCTGTGGGGCCGACCTCGAGACTTGGTGCGAGGAAGACTCCCCGCCCCTCCTCGTCCCGCCTCCCATGCAAGTGCACTGCTTGCACACCTTCCCTTCCCGGGTCACCCGGACTGGGGCCCCGGAGGAGGCCAGGCCTGAGGCCAGAGAAGGGCTTGGCTTGAGAGCCTTACCGTGGAGATCCGGCTTTTCTGAGCAGATCCTTCTACACTTCTCCTCCCACAATTAGGCAGCGGTCTAGTGAGGAGACTGCTCAGCGTGACTTAAGGGCGGGCAGAGAGCTTGATAGCTGGGGCTGGAGAGGGCCGTCTGCAAGGAGGAGGCAGTGTATTTATGATACAGAAGGGGAGATACGGGGATTTGACGCAGATGCTACAGGAAATGGGGGGCAGGGAGCCGAATGGTGAGTGATTCCCTTTACCGTGGGGTCAGCAGACATGCCAACAGACTTGCTCTCAGAAGGCCAGAGCATTGGGAATAGGTAGGGACTATGAATTCATGGCTGGGGTATTGCAGGTTCCCCACGATGCGAATGCTCTCACAGCCTCACTCTGGACTGCTGTGTGCTAGCTTTTGATCCAGTCTTCTCACCACAACAGGTGTGTGCAAGTTTCTGCCCCAGGACTCCGACTCTGCTTGTACCTAAGAGGGCTCTTTAGAGAAGAAATGGCTGTCAGGTACCTGCCAACCACAGTCCAGGTGAGTGGGGGTTGCTGGGGCGTGCTTTTCCACACTGAATTGCCTCAGAAGATTTGAACATAGAGGTTTGGAGAGCATGGCATGTCGCTGTTCCCTGACCAGGAGTTTTTCTCCCAATCCAGTCTCATAAAGAGGCCTGATCCAGTCACTACTTTCTCCACTTTCCCCCGTATCAGGCTCATTTTAGTTAGTGTCATCCAGGCTAAGAAAGTTGTTAGAGGTCACATAAGTGACAACTGGAACTGGAAACCAGGTTGGTCCAAAATAGAAACCTGCACTTTTTCCACTTGCAAGTCAGATCAGGGATGTAAAGTAGTAAGAGGTGGTGCCTAAAATAAGAGGCAAGAGGAGAAATCAGAACACTTTCTTGGGGAGGTGCAATTTACTGGATTCTTTTTTTTTTCTTTTTAAATAATGACGTGGCTTTTTACCTCAGAGGGCTGTTCCATACCAATGAAATCATTCAAAACATGTGATACACCTATATAGTAGAATATTACTCAGCCATGAAAAACAATGAAATCTTACCGTTTAGAACAACATGGATGAACCTAGAAGGTATTATGCTTAGTGAAATAAGTCAGTCACAGAAAGACAAATATATAATTTTACTTATATGTGGAATCTAAAGAACAAAATAAGTGAACAAATAAAACAGAAACAATTATAAAAACAAGGAACAAACAGATGGTTGCCAGATGGGAAGGGGTTTGGGGGAATGTGTGAAAAGGCAAAGGGATTAAGAAGTACAAATTGGCAGTTAACCCAATAGTCATCAGCATGTAAAATGTACGGCACAGGGAATACAGTCAATAACACTGTAATAACTGTGTGTGGTGCCAAATGGGTACTAGACTGATGAGGGGGATCACTTGGTAAGTCATATAAATGTCTAATCACTATATAATATTGTATGTCAACTATAATTACAAAAAATTTTTACTTTTAAAAAAGATTATGTTTTGATTTCAATAATTTACTAAGAGCTTTGAGCAGAGCCAGCCTCTGTAGAATAAGCAATGGGTTATACCCTGAAGGGGCAGCATTCATTCAAATGTGTAAATTATGATGAGTTTGGTAAAGTTGTTCTAACTCCTTCACATTGAACCCTATCCAGGGCAGAACTCTTTGGTAGAAATAATGGAAAGGGATGAGCCCCTGGTTGAAGTTGCTGAGTACAACCCAGTCGTAGCCCCCCAGCTACTTAGCCTCCTGCTCCCGGTGTCTGACTTGTCCTTTGGCACCCGTCTCAGGCACCACTTTGTCTCTCTGGTGGGTCTCCACGGTACCGGTCCACTGTGATACTGGATTGGCCAAAAAGTTCATTTGTTTTTTCCCAAGTGATGGCTGTAGTAGTACTTAGTTTATTTAAACTAAACTAAGTTTAAACTAATTGTTTTTTAAACGACTTTAAAATTGTTTTCAAAACAATTTTGTTAGATTGTATGGTAGCGGCTGTCATATCAGTGTGCATTTAGAAAAACATGAAAATTGGTGAATTTTTGTGCAGTCATTTTAACATTGAAGATGGACAAAAATATGCAACATTTTCAGCGTATTATGCTTTATTATTTTAAGAAAGGTGAAAACACAACTGAAACTCAGAAAAAGATTTGTGCTTTGCATGGAGAAGGTGCTGTGACTGATTGAATGTATTTCATGCTGGAGATTTCTATTTTTAAAGTATATTTTATTGATTATACTATTACAGTTGTCCCATTCACTTCTCCCCTTTCTCCATCTCCATGCCGTACCTCCCTCCCACCTATATCTCGCCCTTCCCCTGCCCCTCGCCACTTAGTTCCTGTCCATGGGTCATATACATAAGTTCTTTGGCTTCTCCATTTCCCATACTACTCTTAACCTCTCCCTGTCTATTTTGTACCTATCTTTTATGCTTCTTATTCCCTGTACTTTTCTCCCATTCTCTGCCCTCCTCCTCCCCACTGATAACCCTCCATGTGATCTCCATTTCTGTGATTATGTTCCTGTTCTAGTTGTTTGCTTAATTAGTTTTTGTTTTTTTTTTGTTTTTACATTCAGTTGTTGATAGTTGTGAGATTGCTGTCATTTTATTTATATTTTTGATCATCTTCTTTTTCTTAGATAAGTCTTTAACATTTCATATGATAAGGGCTTGGTGATGATGAACTCCTTTAACTTAACCTTATCTGGGAAGCACTTTTTCTGCCCTCCCATTTTAAATGATAGCTTTGCTGGGTAGAGTAATCTTGGATGTAGGTCCTTGCCTTTCATGACTTTGAATACTTCTTTCCAGCCCCTTCTTGCCTGCAAGGTTTCTTTTGAGAAATCACCTGAGAGTCTTATGGGAACTCCTTTGTACGTAACTGTCTCCTTTTCTCTTGCTGCTTTTAAGATTCCCTCCTTATCTGTATTCTTGGGTAATGTAATTATGATGTGCCTTGGTGTGTGCTTCCTTGGTTCCAACTTTTTTGGGACTCTCTGGAGTTCCTGGACTTCCTGGAAGTCTATTTCCTTTGCCAGATTGGGAAAGTTCTCCTTCATTATGTTTTCCAATAAGTTGTCCAGTTCTTGCTCTTCCTCTTCTCCTTCTGGCACCCCTTTGAGTCACATGTTGGAATGTTTAAAATTGTCCTGGAGGTTCTGACACCTCTCCTCATTTTTTTGAATTCTCATTTCTTCATTCTGTTCTGGTTGAATGTTTCTTTCTTCCTTCTGTTCCAAATCCTTGATTTCAGTCCTGGTTTCCTTCCCTTCACTTCTGGTTCCCTGTATATTTTTCTTTATTTCACTTTTCATAGCCTTTATTTCTTCCTCTATTTTGGGACCATACTCAGCCATTTCTGTGAGCATCCTGCTTACCAGTGTTTTGAACTCTGCATCTGATAGGTTGGTTGTCGCCTTGTCTCTTAGTTATTTTTCTGGAGTTTTGATCTGTTCTTTCATTTGGGCCATATTTCTTTGTCAGGACAGCACCCATTACATTCTAAAAGTGGTGCCTTAGGTATTTGCCAGGCTAGGGTAACCCACTTAGCTGAGTTGTGGCACTCAGTTGTGGGACCCAAAGTTGTGGGACACTGAGTTATGTATTTGTGGGAGGGGTCCGAGAGACAACATTGCTGCTGGCTCAGCTCTCACCCTGGTTTCAGTCACTTACCCCTCTTCCCACAAGTGGGTTGTGCCCTTTCAGATGCTGATTCCCAGGTGGGTAGGATTGTGTGCTGTTCTAGGATCCTGTGGGCCCCTCCAACTGACTCTATGAGACTGGGAGTTTCTCCTGCCACCACAAACCTCACAGGTTTTTACCACCAGGTTTTGAGGCTCTGTTTCCCCATGCTGGAACCCTAGGTTGCATGGTCTTTCTCCCCATTTGTTCCTACTGGCTTATGACCACGTGAATGTGTGGTGTCCCAGTCTGCCATGGTGCTGGAGATTTCTTGCTGGACAATGTTCCACAGTCAGGTGGAAGTCGATGACGATCAAATCAAGACATTAATTGAGAACAATCAACGTTCTAACACATGGGACATAGGCAACATACTCAAAATATCCAAATCAATGAAGTTATTGGTGAAAATGAAAAATATGTCTGTTTTTTTACATAAAAGGCAAGATGGATATTTTGGTCTACCTAACATTGCTCTTCCCTGACCTTCTCCTCAAACTCTTTGTTGTTTGGTTGCCCTTCAAGAGACCTAAACTGGGCACTAAAATGTGTCCTGTGAAGGGGTGGCCCCAGCCAACAGGGGTAGCTTGCCTTGCAGGAACCGGTGACCCTCAGGGACGTGGCGGTGCTGTTCACCCAGGAGGAGTGGGCCCAGCTGAGCCCTGCTCAGAGGCGCCTGTACCAGGACGTTATGCTGGAGAACTGCAGCCACCTGGCCTCGCTTGGTAAGTGTAGGGGGCGTCCCCACAGGCTCATCTTTCTCCTGGACAGCTCTCTGGTACTTGGACTGGTAGCACCCAGCAGATGGAGCTGGGCGCAGGCCAACTGAAGATGTTACTTTTAAGTCTGTGACCTGCCACTCCTTGGTATCCTGGGCACAGGACTCTTGAAGTTTATGGTGAGTCGGGTCGAATGCTCCCCTTTGGCAGAGAGGACATGGGAACAGACTGTGCCTCAGACATGAGCCATCTTTTCATCCTTAACTCCTCTCTACCCCTGGCCTTCCTACCCATCCCCTTTTCTAGGAGGTTCCAAGAACTAGATCTCATCTTAGCATTGATTTTTTATGTAGCATGAACAGATGTGGTCCTTTTTTCCCCCTTCAAAAACAGGGCTCTTAGGACCCAAACCAGATCCGTTTGCCCAGCTGGGAAAAGGGGAAGAATGGACATCAGAGGTTGCCTCCGGAGGCTTCTGCTTGGGTAAGGCTCTGCGTGTGGGGGGCGCCAAGGGGACTCAGGAAACGTGCCAGGCCTGTGGCCAGAGAAAGGAGCATCTGCTCCTTTCTGTTTGCCTCATACCTTGCTGCCACGTTTGTCCCCACAGGCATATGCCACTCCCTCCTGTTGACGATTTGTGCCTCCCTGGACCTTCCCATTCAGGATTTTTTTTCTCTCCCTATCTGGCATGGATGAATCATCTCATTTGGGAAAGACCTCACATGTAATCTGGGCAGCTGCCCTACCAGGTCCTGTGGTCTCCCAGCCCCTGCTTGTGTGACAGTGTGGTCTCAGCCCCTCCTTCACAGTGTGGTCTCAGCCCCTCCTTCTCTGGGGAGGAGGGGCAACGCTGGGGTGAGCATGGCAGGCCGGCTTCTTCAAGGCTAAGGGCCAGTCATCATGTGCCTCTGAGGCTGATCCTGTTCTAGCTGAACCCTGTGTGTTCCTTCAGCCATCTCCTTCTTTGCTCATTTGCACATGCGCACAGTCAGCCAGCATGTAATTATTCTCCACCTTCTGTGGCTCCGAATTCGGCTGAGAGCACCGTGAGAACACTGCTGGGTCATGGCCAGCATGGTGCGTGGCACCTGGTGGGTGGGATGGACTTGTTGCCAGCAGCATAGAGCTCCTGACCATTTAGTGTCTGTCACTTGCCTCGAGGGGCCCATTGGATCTAGGAACTTGGGAGCAGGGCCGGGTGTGCCTCTTTTGCCCTGCAATGTTCTCTGGAGCTTAGTGGGAAGGCACTAAGGACATTACAACATTTCACTTTCACTGCTGCATTTGCAGGCTATCCAGTATTTATATATACTTTTAAAAACCTTCTGTTACTGACGTTTCACAGTAGAGGAAGGAATTTATATCCTACAGTAAGTAAGTATATACATGGAATGTCTAAGACTCAATCTGTTATGGAATTTAAATGTCTTAACTCCAATAGCGTTCTAAATTTGTATGTTTTATTTTACAGCCAAACTAAGGCATTTTGATATTTCTTTCTGCATTACACAAGCAGTGTTAGAACAAAAAAGGAGGAGAATGCAATAAGAAACTCCTTCACAGTCCTACCAGTCTGGGCCCAGGACTTCAGTTCTCCCATGTCTTCCTCATTAATGCCAGTTCCTTATTGCACTTGTGTGAGGAGGGGTCATGAAGATGAAGGATTTTGATGCCTACAAGGGACTCCCGGGTCAGGTGTGAGTCGTGACTTGACATACCAGGTGGCAGTGGTCCATTCCTTCCCAGGTGCCTTTCACAGCCCTTGGTGCTGGCTCCCCTTATTTCTGCATTGCCTGTATAGCCCAAACTTGGAGCCAGCTCATGAAGCATGATTAGTGGCTAACCAGTCAGACATGGAAAGTCTTATTTTATGCTTCCCAATAAAGAATTATAACTGTTTCCCCCCTTTCCCAATAAGGCTATAGTTTTATTTTTGTATAGTACCATTCCTTCTTTTTCTCTTTTAAACTGGAAATTGCTACTATAAAGAAATGGTAGTCATTTCAGAATATCCCCTTCCTGTCACTCATTCTTAAAATATTCACTGGATACATTTTTAGTTTTTCTTTTTTCTTATTTCTGTTTCATTTCTTAATGTCCGGCTAGGACGTAAAAAGTCATGTAAAATGATGGTAGTAGCTTTTATCTCTGATTTTTAAGGGATGGAGTTTAGAGCTTTTCCACTGTTGTACTGATTACTCTTGGTTTAGAATAGGCACTTACCTGTAATCAGAACAAAAAAAAAGTCCTGATAGATAGTTTTTCTTCTTAATTTTTCTGTTCTCTGGGCCATGAGCTAGTAGAAGGAGGGGAAAGCTGACTGAGTCTCTGTGCTGGGTGATTTCTGGGGACTTATGTCAGCCTCCACATTTAGTAAGTACAACCAGTGAGGCAAATTACAGAAGGCTGAGTCTCATCATGGTTCATTCATTTGATCTTCCTATTACATGGCAAGTCAGGGTTAGAGCCAAGCCAACACAAAACCAGTTCACCTGACCCTCAGACTGTCGTTTTCCCCCTTCTCCAAGATAGCTTTAATGGCAGAGAAATTGTTTACTCAGTAAACCTAAAGAAAACTACTCCATCCCTTATTGTTTACATTTCTTATTTATTAGTAACTTTTTACATTTCTTACTAGTTTGTTTAGGTTTCTTGTTATATCAACTGTACATCTTACCCTTTAGCTGTAATCTTTTTTGTTTTTTAAATATATTTTGTTGATTATGCTATTATAATTGTCCCATTTTTTTCTCCCCTTTATTCCCCTTCACCATATACCTCCCCACCATCATTCTACCCATTAGTTAATGTCTATGGGTCATACATATAAGTTCTTTGGCTTCTCCATTTCCCATACTATTCTTAACCTCTCCCTGTCTATTTTGTACCTACCATTTATGCCTCTTATTCCCTGTATCTTTTTCCCCATTCTCCACCCTTCCATGTGATCTCTATTTCTAGTTGTTTGCTTAGTTTCTTTTTTAGGTTTGGTTGTTGATAGTTGTGAGTTTGCTGTCATCCTACTATTCATATTTTTGATCATCTTTTTCTTAGATAAGTCTCTTTAACATTTCATATGATAAGGGCTTGGTGATGATGAACTCCTTTAACTTAACCTTATCTGGGAAGCACTTTTTCTGCCCTCCCATTCTAAATGATAGCTTTGCTGGGTAGAGTAATCTTGGACGTAGGTCCTTGCCTTTCATGACTTTGAATACTTATTTCCAGCCCCTTCTTGCCTGCAAGGTTTCTTTTGAGAAATCACCTGAGAGTCTTATGGGAACTCCTTTGTACGTAACTGTCTCCTTTTCTCTTGCTGCTTTTAAGATTCCCTCCTTATCTGTATTCTTGGGTAATGTAATTATGATGTGCCTTGGTGTGTGCTTCCTTGGTTCCAACTTTTTTGGGACTCTCTGGAGTTCCTGGACTTCCTGGAAGTCTATTTCCTTTGCCAGATTGGGAAAGTTCTCCTTCATTATGTTTTCCAATAAGTTGTCCAGTTCTTGCTCTTCCTCTTCTCCTTCTGGCACCCCCTATGAGTCACATGTTGGAATGTTTAAAATTGTCCTGGAGGTTCTGACACCTCTCCTCATTTTTTTGAATTCTCATTTCTTCATTCTGTTCTGGTTGAATGTTTCTTTCTTCCTTCTGTTCCAAATCCTTGATTTCAGTCCTGGTTTCCTTCCCTTCACTTCTGGTTCCCTGTATATTTTTCTTTATTTCACTTTTCATAGCCTTTACTTCTTCCTCTATTTTGGGACCATACTCAGCCATTTCTGTGAGCATCCTGCTTACCAGTGTTTTGAACTCTGCATCTGATAGGTTGGTTGTCGCCTTGTCTCTTAGTTGTTTTTCTGGAGTTTTGATCTGTTCTTCCATTTGGGATATATATATTTATTTATTTATTTATTTATTTATTTATTTATTTTATCTCGGCCAGCCCATTAAGTAGTAAGGGGCAGAGCCTTAGGTATTTGCCAGCGCGGGGCAACCCACTTTGCTTTATTGTCTTGCTGTACTGTGAGAGGGGTCTGGGAGGCAAAAATGCTGCTGGCTCAGCTCTCACCCTGCTTTCAGTTGTTTCCTCTGCTTTCCACAAGCAAGTTGGGCCCTTCTGGTGCTGATTCCCAGGTAGATGGGTTTATGCACGTTCTAGGACCCTGTGGGTCTCTCCACCGCACTCTCCAGTGTGTCTGAGAGTTTTTCCTGCTGCCACAACCTCCAGAGGTTTTTTCAGTCAGAGGTTTTAAGGGTTTATTTCCCTGCACTGGAATCCTGGGTTGCGTGGTCTGTCTGGTTGTCCGGGTTTATCCACATGCAAATATGGGACTGCCCACTCTGCCAGCTGCCACCTTGCCCTCACCAGTCCTCCAGCTGCCGCCTCACCTACCCCGGTCTTCTAGCTGCTGCCTTGCCTCTTGTCCTCTCTGCCCCGGCTGTCCATGTCTGTCCCTCGTACCGGTCTGTATGAACGTTTCTTCTTTAACTCCTTGGTTGTTGGACTTCTATACAGTTTGATTTTCTGGCAGTTTTGTTTTTTTTGTTTTTAAATTTGTTGTCCCTTTTTTGGTTGTACGAGGAGGCAAAATGTATCTACCTATGTTTCCATCTTGGCTGGAAGTCTCAGCTATAATCTTTTTGTGCTATAGAATGTATTCATTTACAATTATGCATGGTATGCATCTATAATTTCAACATTTTTATATTATGTTCTCTTTCTCATTTCCAATTTTACCTGCAATTTTTTTTCTCTTAAAATTTTTGGGAATTTTTTTAGAGAACCAGGTCTTTTTTTTTTTCATCCTCACCTGAGGACATGTTTATTGATATCAGAGAGAGTGGAGTAGAGGGAAGAGAGAGGAAGAGAAGTATCGATATAAGAGAGAAACATCGATCATTTGCCTCATAGGCGTTCCTACTGGATACTGAGCCCACAACTCAGGCCTATGCCCTGACTGGGAATTGAACCAGTGGCCTTTTCATTTACAGGATGACAACGTACCAACTGAGTTACACCAGCCAGAGCCAGCTCTTAATTTCTCTGAAAAGTAATTTTATTTGTACACTTATCATTGTCATTTGCTTTTCTTACCTTAAAATATATTTTGAATACTGTATATCCTAGATACAAAAGAGGATAGATAATAGTTTTGAACAGTTTGAAGAATAAAGAAGTAACACCCATACCCCACTGTGTAGCTTAAGAAACAGGACATGGAGGCACATATTCAGCCCGGTGTGCACCCCCACTTCCCACCTTCCTCCTGTCATTTCAGAGAGCCACAGCTTGACTTCTGCCCAGCAACTCTGTGCTGCTCTTCACGGCTTTGCCATGTTTATTCATAGCTCTGAGCAGCTTGTTGCTGTCAAGCCTAATGTGTGTGTGCTGTACTATAGATACCTTCCCATAACTTCTGGTTTTAAATCCTTGTTGAGATGTGTAGCTCTATGTCCTTTTTTAACTGCACTTTGATATTCCTTTC